AAACCTGGAGGGTAAGTCTGTACATGAAATAGCACTGTACCACCCATTTTTTCCAATGTATTTATCCCTTCAAAAATTTTAACTGGGAGAACTGGGAGTCTGAGGGAGCGGGTGAAAGGCTTTCTTTACACTATATACTCTTTTTATATACTCTTTTTGTATACTCTTTCTTTATACTATATACTCTTTTCTAAATGTTGAGGTATAATTTATGTACCATGAAATTAACCCATTTTATGTATATGATTCAATGATTTTTTAGTAACTTTTATAGAGTTTTACAACAATTGCTACAATCCAGCTTTGAATATTCCTATCACTCCCAAAAGTTCCCTGGAAGTTGTGTATATTTTTTCTTTCCTTTCTTCGTATCTATCTGTCTACAATGTGTATATATCACCTATCTAAATTAAATACCAAAGCTGGTAAGGAAGCATAGTGTGAGGAAAAGATCAGAGGAAAACAGTTTAATTATTTGGGGCATTAGCCTTCCTAGTCTATAAAATGATTAGATGGCTTCAAAGGCCTCGTCCAATTCTCAAATTCACTTAAGTGTAGATTTTCTCCTGGGAATCAATTTGACCATAGACCCCCAGATGCTAAGAAGCTCTAGTTATTCCCTTATTAAGAGATCTGTGGCATAACAATGAATCCCAGCCTTTCCAGAGAATATGGAAAACTCTTTTTACCTTGCTTTACTTCTTCTGAGGCCATGGAGTCCCCCACTTCAAAATCAGAGCTGATTCTTTTCCTGAGGAAGCGTAAGTACAACTCACTGCGGGCGTTCATTAGGGTGACCTCAGTCAAGATTGGGTCCAGTTCCCTGAGACACACAGAGGAGAAATAAGCAAGACACTGGATTCCTTCAGATATAAGAGATACATGGCAAACAAAGTCCCAAACTTCTCCTCCCCACTGGGTCCAGAAGATTTCTGCAGATGGTCATCATGGCTCTGCTGACCCAATTATAGTCAGAGACAGCTGTCAACCACATATTCCACTTATGTTTCACCTGAATCATTCCCGCCCTAAAATCCTGCCAGGGCTAAATAAGAGACTGGGAGGTATGTTTTTGTTAGCAGTTTGAGCAAAAATTATCAATGCCTTGTGTGGAAAAAAAACATATCTC